GTTAATTGCTGAGATGTACTTTTATTTTTCTAGCTGGTTGAATAAAGTAAGTACTATGTAATATCTAATGTGATTAATGACAGAGGTAGTTTTGCTTCAAACAGAAGCATTCTTCTTCTAGGTGTTATTAACCTTCCTTGTATTAAGTGTGGAGTCATTAGCACAGATCCTGTAAAGGCAGAAACCTGATACAGGTGCTAATTCTCTGCCAGCACAATGGAAGAGAAGCAAAGTGTTCCTCACCTCACTTAAGCATTGCCTCTGATCTCTGTCTTAAGTCATTCAAATACCAAAATCGTTGCAGAGTAAAATATGACTTAAAGCTGCCTTGAAGTGGGGAGGTTAGGACTCTACTGCAGCTCTCTACTGTTCAGTCTTGTGTGGGTGGACTGGGGAGTTTGAACCACTAAATACTTCGAAGCTTTTTAAAGAGCCAGTGCTGCCTTTGACTTGTCTCCTTTCTCGGCTGAGCTCTTCTAAGTTATTTACTGAACCTCACTTGCATAAGTCATTGGAGTTAAATATTCTTTTCTCCTGTGATGCCTTAATCATCTTTTCTGCCGAAAGGTCAATGCTAACTAGTCCTTTCGATGGGATCTTTATGCCTGTGTGAGAGTTACAAAGGCCGGTTCAACACTGAATTTGAATAAAATGGGCAGTTCTGGTACTGAACAATAGAACACAAAAGGAAGGGGTGCAAGAATAGCTGTGCTGTGGAACAATTTCTATACAAAGAGATTAAATAAGCAAAACCTCTTTAACTTGCAGAAGTGACCAAGGGAGAGCATGTTGAGGTGTAGGAAGCAATGAACTAGTTCCTTGTGGAACGATTAATTCTGTGGGTTTGGGTTTTTTTATAGCATGTGGCCTGGGATGCCCAAGTGAGTGTTTGGGCAGCCAGCACATCGACCTTGAGTAGGCATGTGTTTAACTTAGAACAGACCTCCCAGCACTTGATGTGTGTGTGCTAAGCCACAAGGTCTGATGAAGAAGAAACTGTAAGGGTAGGGTCTAGCTTCTAACCTCTCTGTCCCTGACATGAGTAACTCAGTCTGCTTTTCTGTTTATCTTTCCCTTCATTTGCAAAGGTGCTTTGGAGGCTCGTTAGGGCAGAAACCATTTTGCTACCAGTGTAGGTCAGCTGTCCAGTGGATGCCTAACTTTGGTCAGATGTTCTGAGACCTTCCACCCCAAGAGCTGTAACTGTGAAATAGCGCGTGGAGGAGTGGATGGATGTGAATCATATAACTGAACAGAATGCTGATTTTTCTATTGTTTTCCTCTAATTTGCCACGTCTGATGCATGAGATACATGATGGTACATGAGATAGACCTCATGGGAAAAGATTAAAAAGACCATTTATTATTGATTGATCCTGGTTTGACAACTCCTTTTGGTTTTGTCTTTTGCTGGTTTTAGCTGCTTCCGTGCCAATGCCTTCTTATCCCAGTTCAGGCTCCGGTAGTTCCTCCAGCAGCTCTTCTACTTCCCACCTGGCATCACCTCCTGTAAGTACAGTCCAGAGGATGCATTGCTTATGTTAATGGTCTCCTTGCTTGCTGCTTTGAAACAAGGTCTCTGCTTTTGCTGTGTTCTGGTGCAAGTCACTGAACCCTTTAGTTCTGCCTGGGTTTGGTTCAGTGTCTTCTCCGATCTGTTTAGAGTTTGGATCCTGAAGGTTGTCTTTCTCTCCACAAGAAATATTTCAATTTGTCATTGCCTATTATATGAAAAGCCTTTATGAAAGAAGCTGGTATTAATGACACTAGCTTGCCTGGGCAGAGATGGAAAGCTCCTTGGAACCAAAAATAAGTCACCAATTCGGGGCACAGCACTACTTGGCTGAGAGTTCTCTGTTTTCAGGCAAAGTTACTGCAGCTTGACAGCATATCCACCCTTCTTTGTAAAGTGACCCTCCTGCTTTCTGACCAGCAGTGCCAGGTGCCACAGAGGGACATTCAGCAGAGCTGTTTGCTCAGACCAGACCTGCCACAGTCTGGTGGTCTTTTGAGACTTGATCTGAACTGACGGTTTTTCTCTCTGGTTACCTGAAATGATGAAAACTTTTCTGGAGGGCAGAATATTAACTGACCAGTGAAGTGACATTCCTCCAGCTCACTGAAGTGAAAGCTTGTTTTTGGAGGCTCTTGGTGAAAGCTGCCTTTTGACTTTGAACTCAGGAATGCTGGTGGTGTGATGGGTAGGGGAACGGAGAAGTATTGATTTTTTTTGTTTGTTTGTTTTCTTTTTTCTCCCTGGCTGCTTTTTTGCTTTGTTCTGTGCGTTTCCCTGGGCCAAGGTGTCTTGACCTGGTGTGGGAAAGGCTGAGAGGCACTATCAGAAGTTGATGTGGGTTGGACAGAGAGGAGAGGTCTGCTCTTCTCTGAATGTCGCATGATTGCATCCCTGAGAGCTTCTTCCCCCCCTGCAGCTCCTACGTAGGCTGAGGCCCTCCTGGCCATAAGACTTCAGGAATGGGTAGATGGTGTGAAAAGCAGACTCCTTCCCCTGAGCTTTCCTGGTTTGGGAAGCTAGGGGATGGTACTAACTTGCTGCCGGACCAGGAGGGGGGTCCCATGTTAGAAGTGTACTGCACTGGTCCCAAGCAGCGTTTTGAAGTTTTGCTGATGGAGGTATGCTGGTCCAGCACATGAAAAATGCCAGATCTGCAGGGCAGAGCCAGCAGGTTGGATGGAAAACTGACAACTTTGACAGCTGGAAAATTCCTTCTGCTTGTATGTACTGCACATACACTGAGAAGGAGTTCCCAGTGGTACAGCAGGAGAGTCTTTGTAGGGTGAGCAATATCTTAATAGGGCCCAAGTGGAAGTTGATTCAAGCCTTTCTCAGCCTAAAAATGCATTAGAATAAAGATTGTGATCTACTCTGTGGGCAGTTCAGCTGTCTTAAAGCCTCCTCCATCTCCAGCCTCCTCCATCTGTCTGCAAAACATGAGGGGGCTATTCATTGTTTGGCTGAAAGAAGCAGAAAAATGGGATTTTTTGGGGTCTGACCTGCCTCTAGTGGCTGTAAGGTGTTCATCTATTGAATGCTTAGCCTCCTTCAGGCCTTTCTTTAACTCCTTGTCAGCACTATTGCAAAACAGGGTTGTCCTGAAAGTGCAGGGATGCTTATGTACATGTTCCCGAGTGCTGTTTACTGCAAAAGCATGAGTAGAGACCAGATGTTTAATGTTTAAGAACAAAACAAAACAAAAAAAAACATAACCCAAAAGAACAACCAAAACTATCTCTGAAAGCTCTTCTCTGTTTCGCAGCCATACTAAATTGAGTTGGTAGAAAATGCATGGTTGATCCAGAAAGCCTTAGCAGAGGGATGCAATACGTCAAGTGAGTTTTTGTTATCTGGGGAGCATCAGACATGCTGTTAGCATGTTTTGTGTAACAAAAGACGTGCTGTTCTGACATGGACATAAAAGGCTCTTCCTTTTCAGTAAACTAAACAGCTGCTTCTGGCGAACTATCAGCCCTGGTTTATCAAGAAAATGTTGTTTGTAGCCTTGTACAGCCCAGTTTAAAGGACTGAGCAGAATGATGAAGTAGCCGTGCTGAAGCCAGTGTTTGTTTTCTTCTTGAATTAGCAGTCCCTTGGAGAGATGCAGCAGCAGTTGCAGGAGAAGACGCTGGCATCTCCCACCCAGGATTCCCCTGGCTTCCTGCATGGATCTAAGGACTCTGCTGGAAGCAGCAGTAAGAATTCGTCCTGTGACACAGATGATTTCGTTATGGTCCCAGCACAGTTCCCAAGTAAGGTGGTTTCTGGAAATGCAGACATTCTAAGCAGAGGGGGATGTGGATGTTAAGGATAGTTACTAGAAAGTTGCAAGAGCAATTAAACCTGTCTGTTGCAGGAATGTTTTTGTTCTCAAGCTGGAAGAGACATCAGTCTTGCTGGCTAGTTTCGTAGGATATTTTGTAATTACCTTCAAAGACAGGATTAGAGAGTAAAGATTACTCAGGGACCTCAATAAGAGATTGAACCTGGAAATCCAACTGGAAAAGAAGATAAGTAGGCTCACAGGGAAATGTCTTTCTCTCACAGAATCTGCTTCTGTGTCATCCTGTCTTCAGTTTCACTCAGTATCACAGTCCAAGACAGGATTTCAGCTATCAAGCTGGATTTTACACTTGAAAAAAATCTCTGAGAAAAACTAAAAGAAATTGGATTTTTCTTCAAACATTTTGAATTTCATTTTAGCATCTCTGTGTTTATACTTTGGTATGAATTGCTTGGAAATACATATGTACATAGAGGCCCAGGGCCCCAGTTCAGCCACATGCCGAAGTATGTCCATGCACAAGTCCTTACTTAACGAGCAGAAGGATATTGTTCAGCCTTGACCATGTGTATGATGCCTTGCTGAGTTGGAACTTGGTGGTAAATGCTGTGATTCCTCCTTTCACAGTTGCAGTACTTGTATTGAAACAGGAATTTGGAGGGGTAGAACTGGAATCTGTGGAAGGTCTCTGCTGTGCAATCCTTATGATGAGAGCTCAGTGTTGCTTGTATTTTTCCTGGGAACAGCGATGGGACCAGTACACACTTGTCTTGTGCTAGTCATGTTTCCAGTGCTCAGATGTTTTGGCAAAGGCACAAACCCCCCTGTTGTGTATCCAGCTGCCAGCTCATTTGGCTGCCCTAGATTTTTGCTGCTTAGGACACAGATGTTTCAAAGTTCTGCGTGCAGCATACAGCACTGTCTTCCCACAGCAGCTGACTGCTAGCACCAAGTGGGCATATACCCGTTGCCCCAAATGATTCTGTCAGGTTTTGACCCCCTTCCAAAAGGACTTCCTTTTGGCCTAAATACTCCAAAACTTCAGGCTGTAAGGATCAGCAGCATCCACATCAGCTTCAGCCCACATGTATTTTGCAAAATGCTGACTTCAGCAGCAGCTCGGCAGGTCTTGGAGGAGCAGGAAATTCTACCCAAAATCTCAGCTGCTCTGAATATATAAAGATTTTTAAGAAAATTATCGCTAATTAATCTGTTTCTGCATTTCCTTGTTCCTCAGGTGATTTAACTGCTGATGCTGCAGGAGGGAAACCAATCCAAGACAGCCTGATGTACAGCGGGTAAGACCATCCGAAATGATTTAGCTGCTGGAGCATATTGTGCATTAAGGACTTTTGGGATCTGGTGGATGGGAGGAAAGATGTTGCTGCGTTAACTTTTGTTTTCAGGAGTAACTGTCACCTGCCTGGTTCTGCCCATTTGCAGTTTGATCATCAGCATGTGGCACCTAAATACCAGAGTGTGTGTGGGGCAGCATGGCAGTCCCCAGGGCTTCTACAACTACATTTAGCAGAGGGTGCTGGGCAGGCACAGCCTTGTTACTATGCTTTGTAAGGGGATAGTGGTGTTGGTTCCCAGGCTCTAATGGCTGGGTTCTGTCTGTCATTCTTCAGGAGTTCTCTAGTGACTTCAGCAGGCTTGGAAAGCCAGGGAAGGACACCATCTCCTTCACCTCCATACAGCAGTTCTCCTAGCCTGTCCAGGTAAGAAAGACTGTTCAGTGGTGACTGTGAAACATTGGTTAATTGAACACCCGTTGGCTTCCAAGAGGGGATTTTACAGATGTTGGTGTTGTGGGCGAGATCCATGTGTCTCCTTTAATTAAGGGGTAATGAGAAACATCCAGGAGAAACTCCCCAGCCTCAGACACTGATCAGTGCCAACTACAGAGCCTGTCTTTCGCTCTTCTGGCCCTCAGGAGGGGCCAGGAGAGAATGCAGTAGAGCTGGAATTAACTCTGTTCCCTGGGAGGCAAGGATTATTCTCAAGCAGAAATTAAGTGTGCTTCACTGGCCTGTATGTGCTACTCATGCCCTATGTGCTCAGCTTGCAGAGGTGGTGAGTATTCCAGTTAAAGACCCTTGCTTCTAAATTCATGCGGTGGATTAGAGTACAACACTTCAGCCAATGGTGAAACCGCTACGGGCTTGAATTACTGGGCAAGGGATAGGAGGGCAAATGTGGAGGAGTGTTGTTCATCTCTCCTTGGTGTTGAAGGACGGGTCTGGGCCTACTTAGTTGCTAGCAGTTTGCTTGAAGCTCAGCTTGTTGCGCTATGTCTGTATAAAGTGATGCTGCTACATGGGCTTTGTGTAGTAGCAGAGGGTGCAGGAGTAGGAGTAACAAGTGCAAACAGGTGTGGTCGTAGGTTTAGTTCCAACGAAGCCAGTTGCTATAAACTCAGCTTTGGCGTTCAGAAATGTCGTAGGTGACAGCTGCCCACACACAGCAGCACCAGCTGCCCAGCACCACCCCTGCCTCCAGTCGCATTTATGTTCAGAACACGTTCACAGTTTGTGGAAGGCGATCCCATTGACTCTAGAGCTTGAAGCTTTAGGGTATGTGCTTAGCTTACAGGGAGTGCCACTGTTGCTTCCCATCTCATTCTTGTCTGCTGGGGAAGCAGGACAGCTTTCATCTTCTGTTCTGTCAATATGGCACCTGTTGGGGGAGGACAGTTGAAGGGAATTTCATACCGGTAGATGGATGACCCTAAAATCTTTCTTAAGGAGAAAATGTAGTTCCAGGCTACGTGTTGAACACACTCATCACATAAATGGAACCCAGAAAATGACAAAACGTAGCCCCAAAGCATACAAATTTAAAGGAGAAGAATATAGCTCAAAGCCTCGCTGACGTGATCAGATTAATTGGCAAGCACGTACCACAGTGTGGAGTTTAATTGCATGAGGCTTCTTAGGCCATCGCCTGCTAAGCTTTTTAACAGCTTATTACTTAACTGATTCCTTTGCATTCTGGGGATCAGTCTTTATTAAAGGATTTGGCCTTGTTTCTGGACAGCAGTGAGTGAAAATTCATGGAAGTTGACTACAAATGCTGCCTGCTTTTCACTGTTCACCTCTGTCTTCACCAAACTGGCTTCATCGTATTCTACTGGATCAGAAGGCAGCAAGTCGATGCCAGCAGCTATGATCTAAACATGTTTCTGCTCTTGCTGCCTTTCCTATTCGTTCCCGGCAGCTTCTGTGGAGCAGATGCCAAACACTCTAGTGCTACTTCCCACTTTTATATCTCTTTGAAGAAACACTGAAAAGTTACTTCCTACTCTCCAGGATGGGGAATAAGACCTAAGTAATGAGAGATGGGACCAGTCACACCAAATCCAGTGCATAAAGCATGATCTTTGATCTGTCCCCTGAAAGTGCTTTGAACTGGTGTAACCCAGGCATGCCCTTACTACTAATATGGGTTTCAGTGCCCTTCGTTGTAGATGTCCTGAGGCCTGTTGGTTCAGCACTTGGCTTCACTGGCGCAGAGGACTCCTGATTTCTCTCCATCTGTCTTTGCTCACTTGGAAGCAGCAGTTCTCCCTTTCATGTGTGGCTCTAGGCTAGCAAGCAATGCTGGATGCAGTCCAACTGGGACAGAAAGCAAAGACTATTTTAGAGTGGCCAGCAGTGGGTTTTCCACAGGATGTCTTGGTACGCTCTAGAGCAGCTCTCCTTGTTCTTAACTTAAGAGGGTGAGGACTAGGCAGAATAAAAATATGCTGATAGTTAATTTTGTTTTGAAACACTTCCTTGTTGAAGGTGCTTAGTAAGTCTAATGAAAGGTACTTCCTTGGATGTATCCCACAGCAATGGATTTAATACCATGTTCAAAGAGCTTTTAATTACTGCCAAGTAATTGAACTGCCTGTCCCAGCTTTATCTCTTGGTCTTTGCAAATTTATCATCAATTGTAGCCTTTAGGGCTTGAGACCAATTAGTAGGTTTAGCATAGGTCACCTCATTTGGATGCTTTCCTTTGCAGCTTGTACCTTGTGGAGAAACCTGGCTTCTATAAGGACTTGATAGGACTTTTGGGGTGAGGGAGGGTCCTTTTGCCTGAGAAATTTTTTTCCTCCAAAGGATTTTGACCAGATGGATAAGATAGTTTGAAATGTATGTTGAAAGTCAGGATGTGTACAAAGTTTGAGGTGAACCCTCAGATTTCTTGGTTAAGCTCTGTCCACTTTATGTCTGTCTTGACACCGCGTCTTACACTGATGGAAGACAGAGACACCAAGGCCTTACCTTTCTGCTGAGCAATCAGAAGCCTTGAATGCCTTTGTTTTATTGCATGACAATGAAGTAGCAAGGCTTCCATGCCGCCTTTTAGAGACAGACATCAGAGTAAGAGTCTGTTCTCTTGGTGGAAGAAATGAGAGCACGCAAGGAAGAATATATAGAACTTAAAAAAACTAATAAACCTGTTGAGAGAGGAATGAAGAAATTGGAATCACTTTTTGATCTTTCAGCCTTGATGAAAGATCTCTTCAGTTATTTGGCTCTGTTGTGATGGAGGAGTGTCTTCATG